TGAAGGAGTTCACTGCTGGGATAACTTCCTAGGAGGCTGGGGTACTGGGAGGGTACCTACAGAGAGGCAATTCCCAGCCCTTTGCAGTGGTCAGATTTACATATTAACCCTTGAAAAGCATTTGGGAACTTTGTCCCTGTTATTGTCTCCCTAAAAGGGGTGCAAAGTTCTGGGTTGTAGGACAACAAAGAAGCTGTCAGGCTGAATTAAGCGAATCATCTCGCCAGCGCAGTGTCCCGTGTTCCACTGCTGTGCTTGGTCCGTGCTGCAATCCATTTCCAAAGTTAAAAATCCTCCCTTACCAAGGAAAACAGGCTTGCCCTGGGCTATTCCACAAGGTTTGGGGTGGCTAGAAGGAGCAATGTCAGGTGAGGACCTGGAGCAAGTAGACTGGGAGAGATGTGAAAACTGTCCTCTAAGTCAACGTTTGCCACAAGTGCCCCTCTATTGCAGAGACAGACCCTCAGTAATGCAGCAGCAGTTGGTGCTGATTGCCCAGCAGAAGGCTGGGGATTCCTGTTCTGCTTCCTCCGCCTTGGGGAAGTTTCTCTTGCTTATTCCTGGTTGACCATCTGGTTTTGAGGTGTGTGGCTCAAGTGGCTTCAGAATTATATGCTGGTATAACTCAGAATGTCCTTTTTCTATATCTGAGACTGGTTTTTTCCTGCTCTCTGTTCCTGTTAGGATTTGGAGTAAATGACACATGTAGCTTATGAAGCTCCAGTGATGTGTTTTGATGAGGTGTTGTGTCAGCTTGACCAGGGCCTTATCTAATTACATTGCAAGAGGGCAAGAAAGAGCAGATCTCTGCACCCTCCTTCCATCTGCCTCTTGCTGCTCCCCCAAACCCAAGCTCCTCTCTTCTCTCTCCTGATCTCTCATTTCTCATCTTGGAATATTGCTTCTAGTCTGACACATAGGCCCGTACAGCTGGGAGGGTCTTTTCTCCTAGGCGGTGGGTGCTGTTATTTATTATTTTGCCCCGTGACCAGTGGTCCCTGCTGGGCTGCTCCTCTAAAAACACAAGGCTTAGGTGGTAATTTTGAAGTGCTCCCTTGTGACAGGCTCGGTGCAGAGTTTGACGTACTGCGCTACTGAGTAGGTCTTGTTGGAGTTCTTCCTCTTCAGTCTTGTCCAGCCTAAATGCTTTTGGCAAGAAATTAACTACTACACTGAGGAAAAAAAAAATGCTGAGCCGTGATGGAATTGTGTCGGCATTTTAAAGCTAATTTGGATTAGAGTAAGGTGTGAAGTTATTCCGAAATACCTATTGCGCTTGCTGTTGGATCAGTCTTATTCTGGGAGAGGAATGCTTGTTCCAATTTAGCTTAATCCTTTTTCAAAGCTAACTAATCTAAACCAGGCCAAGGCACTCTTCTGGAACGTGCCGCCGTGTAGTTAATCAAAAGAAACCTGATGTGCAGAGAAACCCGACGGCTCTTCCTCTCTGTGGGCACGGCCGTGACTGTACGGGGCTGTGGCTGCGCGAGACATGTCCAGCTCAGTGTCGGGGAGTGCACCAAGAAAGAGAATTTAATTAGGCAGTCACCTTTATCAAAGGAATTGGGGCTATTTTTGAAAGCGAGAGGGCTGGATCCTCTTCCTTTCTTGCCCCAGCAGAGGTGTGAGCAGCTCTCTGAAAGCCGATCCTGCAGAGCAGGGGTGAGGGTTTCCCGGCTGGCTCGCTGCGGAGCTCTGCGAACGCTGGTGTCGACACGGGAGGTGATGGATGTACGGGGAGAGCAGGGTTATGCTTCGAATCCACGCTCTAGTTGTGTAGGATTGCAGCGTGCCTGTAACCACGGCGTGTGGCGCCTGCTAATTAGCTAATGTCCCGATTAACGAGAGGAAATTTCTGCCCCTCGCTTCTGGTGGAAGAGTGCCACAGTGCAGAGAAAGAGTTTTGCCTCCTGACTTTAAAGATTGAGATGATGGTGGTTCTGCCATCAAAATCACGACTGGGTGGTTTAAAATGCCTCCGAGGTGAGAGCAGCGGGCTTTGGGCTGAGCCTGGCTGGGTGGCAGAAGCCTCTCGGTGGGCGGGCAATAGTGGCAAATCGCCAAAGCGTGCCGGGCTGACAGGAGGGAGCTCAGCTCCGAGCTCATGGGTGGAGGAGCGAGGTGCCTTCAGGTGAACTGCTGCTCCACAGTAAATCCTCCTCTGCATGGGGCTCGGAGGATGCGTAGGATTTGGGAAGTGGATGCTGTGAGTTCTCCTGACTGAAATGGAGCCCAGTCACTATAGCTTTTACCTCCCCACTGGCTCTGTCAAGCAACTTGGAATATGAAACTGGGGCATCGACGCCTTCCCTTTCTTTCCATAACTATTTGCTTCCCTCTGGGAAGGGGAGAGGTTGGCTGTGAGGCTGCTGACGCCGTGAGGGAATATGGACCTCAGGCAGGACAGAGCTGGGAGCTGCGGCAGCGGCGCCCGGGACTCAGTAGCTGTGAAACATGATTCTCGGAGCTCGGTGGACTGCCCGGAGAGGGTGAGGGGAGAATGCAGATGACGCATTTGATTTTTAAAAAAGCGGATGGTGTTGACAGAAACCCTATCTTGATTGAGGGTGGTAGGAAAGCATTTGATTCCAACCGTGTCTTGAGCTCGGTTACAGTTGGTTTTGGCTCCGATTCTTCTGTTTGCCTTCTTTGGGTCCTACCCTGAGATCTTTGCAGTCCTGTAGCTGACGCTTCTCTGCTGACATTCTTCCCCTTAACTACCACAGTTCTGTGCTGGGGAGCTGAAGGCTTCTTTTCTTCAGGAGGGAGGGCCCGTGATTGCAAACAGCAGTGACACCTCCTAAAAGCTGCTTTGATTTACTCTTGAACATTCTTTTATTTAGAGAACACACCATCGGGATTGAACCATGTGTGGTCTGCCTGGACAGATGGTTTAGGTCGAGGCTTGGTGCATTAGGAATGCGCTGCTTTAGAGTTGGTTGGACTTGTGAAACCAAAGTTCAGGTGATTTCCTTGGGGAGCGTTTTGTAACACATCCTCGGAGGCTTTGCCTCGCAGCTGCGCCAGGCAGTGGGAAAACACCTTTGCAAAAAGGTTTTCTTGCAGTTTCGGGGTTTATAACTGTTGCTGGCTTTATTCCTGTTTCATTGAGGTTAGTACCACCTGTTGACACAGGGACTCCTCCTGCTGTCATTGCTCCCCTAATTAACTGCGGGGACCATTCCTGACACCGTCAGGGTGCTGGGTTTGTTTATAGCCTGGCGGGCCTCGGGCAGCGCCGTGGAATTCAGCGTTGCCCTTCCACCCACTTTTTTTCCCCAGTAAAAACACTCTGCAGAGCTCTCTTCCTGCTTTGAAAATCCATTTGCTTTCTAGAAGAGCACGTTTGTGTCGTTAGCTCTTTGTAGCCCTTCAGAGGGAGAAAGGCTGCACTTTTGCAGTGCTCTGGGGTCAAACCTCATTGCCAGGCTCTTGCTTCATAACTGCCCTGGTGAGAGTGAGAGCTCTTTGCTGCGTGTGGTGAGCAAGGGGAGGGCAAAGCAGTTGCTCTGTACTGTACCTCCTTTTGAAAAATACAATTCTAGCGTTGTCAGGTGGAAAAAAAAAGAAAAGCCTTCAAAACTCAATCTTTTTGATAGGTTTGAACCTGCACATGTCAACAGTGGTAAAATCTTTTTGGGTTTGCCAATTGGCAGTGGAATAAAACCCTGCATTGCTTATGAGGTGTCCTGTCCCAAGGCAGGGCAAGGTACCAAAGGCTGTCCCAGCCTCTATCTCTGGAAACCGTGCAGAGGTGCACACTGATTGAGGTGTTGGGTTTGATGTCACAGGTCACCAACGCTTGTTGCCCGAAGGACTGCAGCGGTGCAGGCAGAGGGATCGTGGGCACGACGCGGAGGTGAAGATGTCTCGCCCAGAATCTCGCTATTCCTTTGACGTCCCAAACCCTTGCATCAACTTTGCGACTCTGAGCGACGATGACATGCACAACGCAGACTCCTGGTTCGGTACGTTGCTTCCAGCTCCTCGATTTGTTTTCTCTTTGAGCGAGGGCTTGGTGTGGTGCCTGGTTTGGGGCTGGCTTCCGTGTCACTGGGGGAGTTGTGTGGTGAACAGCACCATTCATTGAGCATTCAACATTGTGTTGAGTTTTTTCCTTCTGTTTTCATATTTAAACTTTGTCATCTGTAGCTCAACAGGTGACTTTGTTCACATCATAATGAGATTTTGAGGATTGTTTAAAATTCCCAATGGAGTATGTGTAAGTGAAAGTCTCTCTTTCCTCACAGACCAAAAAGCCAATCTGGAGAATGTTCCTCCTGCAGAAAATCTGCCCAAAGTTTTGCAGAACAGCCCTGCTTTTTCCAAGCCTGATATTATTCTGTCTTCTGTCACAACGCAAGAAATAACACAGAGTAAGCTGGCGTGGTGGGGTGAGGGAGGAAAGAAATTTTACCTGCTTTTCACTGGCAAAATGAAAAGGGCTCTGTCTGGCTTTTGTGGGACCATCTGCATATATTGTTGTCTAGCAAGGTGTCATATAGTGTCACTTTAGCATTCCTCTGTGTGTGTGTGTATTTATATATACGTGAGCTGACGTTTGTCGCTGTTCTCAGGTGAAGGCCATGGGGAAGATGATGGCCAAGCAGATTGTGCACAGGCCACTGCGGTTCCTCAGAACATTGTTGGATCCCTGACGAGCTGGAGAGCTGCTGCTCCTGCAGAGGCTGCTCAGAGGTGAAATGCTTGTATTTGGTTTGCGCAGAGGTTGATGACGGTGTGACTCAGCCAGTCCCCGCTCTCAGGATCTGCAGTTCTAGCTGTTCTTGGGGCAGCCTCTGGGTCTGAAGTTCTCCAGCACGGGGATCGGGTATGGGCACGGCTGATCTGCTTGCTAAGCTGGAGGGACAGCCTCTAGCAGGGGAAATGTAATGCAGCATCTCACATACTTCTCAAATGAGACTCAGTAGCACTAGGAGCTTCTGGAATGTGAGGATATGTGAAACTCAAGCAGCTTATAAAGTTTCTTTGTTTATATCTGCCTGAGTTGGGTGTAACTTCTCCTTGATTCGAATGCAAAGGGCTCTGTATGCTCCTATGTACCAAAACCCATGAAGTTTACAAGTTGTTAAGCTTAAATAATTCGTGCTGCATTTGGATTGTGTTAAATGCATGATTTGCATAGGGGGCATGCTGGAGTTACGTGATGCACTGACATAAAAAGGGTTACATGGATTGTGTGTCTCCTCAGACCCGTGGGAAAAGCTAACCTCTGCTTTCTGTTCCGCTCCAGAGCGGGTCGAAGACAGGCTACCACGCAGAGAAAAACACAGCGCAAACAGCCAGCGAGAATCAAAGCGGAGACAAATGCTAATAAGGAAGAGGTTCCACCCCCGAAAAGAATGAGAATGTACGTCATCAAAGTCCTTCTCTTTGGGGCTGGGGAGGGGAATACAACTGTTACATTGGAAAGAATTTCCACATGGCTGTGAGGGTTCTCACAGGAAGGTTAGGGGGAGGTGGCCAAAACCTGATTCCTGATACTGGTTTCATAAACAAGAAGAAATGGCCATAAGACCTGAAGGAAACATTTTATTAAGAGGTAGAGATGTGAATGAATTAAGCCTCAATTTCTTAAGCTTCTTACTCTGTACTCGGTGTCTGTCAGCTAGCTTTAAATTTGGCTTTACTTGTCCATTAGGAAGTCATCAGTCAGTCATGAGCTATGAAAGAGTCGCAGCTAAAATATTTCTCAAATTAGCTTAACCGCTAAGATAGCACATGGTGATAAGCTGGAGGTCAGGAAATCGAAGGACGATCTTTCAAACGCTGCTGTACCTAGATGAACTGCAGTGCGTGTCTGCCTCCTCGAGAAAAGCCACAGTTCCAAAAACTCTGTAATTCATCTTCTCTTCTGCAGCCATAGGGTGCCAGGAAAAACTAGACGATCTATTCCAGGGTCTGTGGTGAGGTAAGGCTGGTCTGCACACCTTAGAGCTCACCAGGTGTTGGGTGTCACGCGTGGTGGTGAGGGCTGCAGGCAATTTTTTGTTATTTGGAGTGATTTGCCATAACTAACTTGTTACCTTAGTTCTAGCAGCAGAGAGAAGCTGGCAGAAGTATCCACAAAGAGAGAGCCCCTGCAGAACCCCGAGCTCTCCCCGGGAAGAGGGAAAAGCAAGCTGACCATACCTTCCACGCCAACGATGCTGAAGTACGTAGCTTCCCTGTGACATGTCTTTGCTAATCACAGTTGATTTAGGTGACAGCCCTGGCCAGGGTGTTTTCAGCTTTCAGCTTGGCATTTATGATATCATATTTAGTAAACACTGGATCAGAACAACAATATTGGGATGAAATGTACTTGACCGGCTGTGCAGAGGAAAGCTTTTGCTTCTAATTTTGGGGAAAAGTTCCTGTTGATGAATGAAACCTGCAAACGGGTCTGAGGGTGCAAACAAAACCCAAACAGATCTTTTCTGAAGAGCAGGCTTTTACAGCTAGCATGATTCTGTGATGAAATCGGAGATAAACACTGAGATTTGCCTTCCTGCTTCACCAGTTGTTAGCATCACATTAGTGCTTAATTCAAGTGCTTCTACAGGAGGCCCCATCTGTCTGGCAAGCTGAAGAGTACAGAGGAGCAGGAGCTGGAGAAGATGCAGCAGTTGCAGCGGGAGGTTATGGAGCTGCGGAAGAAGAACGAGGAGTCTCTGAAAGCGGCTATTGCTGGAGCAGGTAGGCTCTGGCTGAACTGCAGGTTGAAGCTGTACCAGGCTCAGCCGCTGTGCAAGCACCTTTCAAAACCGACATGCCAGAATCTGTAATAAGTATTAGGAATAGGTGGCTTTTAATGTAAATCAGCTCCTAAGCTGCCTAAAACCCAGGCTTGCTTGGGTTTTGGCATGTTGTATGTTGTTCTAGATTACAGATTAGTTCTTCAAAAAGCGTTGAAGCTATTAGAAAGTAAACAGTTCTTTTTTTCTTCTTTTTTTCCTTCTCAAGCCCTCTACCCCAGCCCAAAGGCTTCTGCACCTTACATTCTCTTTTTGTCTTTAAAAAAGCGTTCAAGCTATTAGAAAGTAAACAGCTCTTTTTTTCTTCTTTTTTCCTTCTCAAGCCCTCTACCCCAGCCCAAAGGCTTCTGCACCTTACATGCTCTTTTTGTCTTTAGGCCAACCCGTGAAGAGACCTGTTGGTCAAGTGACAAAGCCGATTGACTTCCACTTCTGCACGGAGAACAGGATTAAACAACATGTGGAAAGCCAGCCTGGGAACGAGTACAAGGAACTGGATTTTGCAGCCGTACTGAGGAAGCATCCTCCTTCTCCGGTGAGAACCAGAGCTTTGCCAGCAGTCAGCTGCCTGATTCTTGACTTGCAAAGAGGGCAGCTCTGGGAGAGGCGAGCGGTGTGCTGGCATTAACTTTTGCGAGCGTTGTGCTGACATAACCTTTAGCTGCGTTGCCCTGCTCTGAAAGGCCCTTCCTGTCACATCTTCTGCTCATTAATCTTCGTGCTTTAATCTTCCCCTTCATACAGCTCCCCGATATGACTGGCCTATGTGTGTTCAGACAATTAAGACTGTCTGGTTTTAAGCGTCATCTTGTTTTCAATAAGGAGAGGGGACAGATACTGTGAATCGGTGGGGAAAGGAAATGTTGTTGAAGCCTCCGGCGTGAAGTGGCAGTAATAACCATGGGGGTTTTGCCTTCAGGTGCGAGCGCCCAAGGGACCCACTGTCCCCAAACCTTTCAACCTGTCCCAAGGAAATAAAAGAAAACTTGAAGAAACCGTGTCAGAATATGTGTCCCTTGCTGAGCAGGTAGAAGCATTCCAAAAACGCACACCCTCTCGTTACCACCTGAGGAGCAGGAAAGCTGAGGAAGGTGAGTAGCCTGCAGAGGTGGGTGGCAGTAGAGCAAGAAAGATACTTTGACTGCTCTGCTGAGCAAGGTGTTGGCGTCTGTTGCAGGCCTTGCCATTAACTGTTGGTCTCTGTGACTTGAATTTATAGACCCAATTCCAGGAAAGTTGGTGAAGGCTAAACCTACAAACCCTAAAACGCCAGTGCTTCTAACAAAGCAGCGCTTCAGACCTGTCACCTGCAAAACTACAGCAGAGTTAGAAGCAGAGGAGTTAGAGAAAATTCAGCAGTAAGTAGAGGTTTATTTAGTCCTCCAAAAGAGAGTTGTATCCCACTGGAAATGTCTTTCAGATGCCAAAATACCATTTCTCAGAAATACCTGTTTTGCGTAAAAAACCAAGTAGAATAAAAACATTGAGATTCTTCTAGCTTGTGCATAATCCTATGGCTCTGGTTGCGTAGGGGTGTGGAAAGTAGCCTATTTGTTTTGAAGAAAGTGCTCTTAGGAGAGCTGATTTGGGTCGAGTACAGCTCGTTGATTAGTGAAGCAAAAACCCAGCACAGGCTGCAGATACTTCAAAACTCCTGTAGGCAAAGTTATGAATTGCTTTCTTGGGAATTCAAAAGGTTTGCCCTAATGTCTTGCTGTTTTAAAAGCAGAGGAGGAGCTGCTAAGCAGAGACACACGCTGTGGCACGTGGCACCACTGCTTCTGTCCCTGGCTGGTGCTCTCCTGGCCTGTGGGAGAAGGCGATTTGTAGGAGTTGCATCTTGTCACGCACAGTTCGTCAGCAGCTGTCTCCATCTTTACTGCCTAGGTACAAATTCAAAGCACGAGAACTCGATCACAAAATCTTTGAGGGTGGACCACTCCTGCCCAAGAAACCTGCTGTGAAGGAGCTCACGCAACCCATTGGCTTCGAGTTGGAAATAGAAAAAAGGATTCAGGAACGTGAGAGTAAGAAGCAGCAGGAGGAAGAGCACTTTGAGTTCCATTCCAGGCCGTGCCCGACAAAAATCCTGGAGGATGTTGTGGTAAGAAGTTTAGTAATACCCAGATCTGGGAATTAGGACTGAGGTGACAATTAAGCTTCAAAAATTCCTTAGCTATGATACGTTCTATATTTGATAATCTCTGGTAAACACTGCTCAGTCATCGGGTGAGAGCTGCAGTGAGTACCGACTGCACTGGGTTGGGTTGTCTCTCTGTAACCCTTGTTCTTGGCACTTGGGCTCGGTTAACTCCTTACTGGCTTTTGTGAACAGGGTGTTCCAGAGAAGAAAGTGCTTCCTGTTACAGTCCCCAAGTCTCCAGCGTTCACCCTGAAAAGCAGAACTCGAGTCTCAAGCAGAGATGAAGAAAAGGTAACTGGGAATGGGCCCTGGTCAGGCCTCCTGGCCCCACCGTGGTGACCTCTCACTCTGGATCCCTGGGGGTGGGGAGCGGGATTCAGAATGCGTCGTGTCCTTCCTCCTTTCCCTCTTGTGAAAGGAATGTTAAAGAATTCCAGCCTGGTGTGGATGAGAGCTAGAACCTGAGAGTGGTTTGGAAAGAGGAAGAAATTCCTGTTCGGTTTAGGTTGCCTATAAACTGGTGCTTTTTTGGATGACTAATTCTTGCAGTGTCCAGAGTGTGTGTTGGATGCTGTCGTGACCCTTATTAAAGGAATTCTAGTATTCATGGCTTGCTTTGGCAGGAGGTGTGGTCTTTCTATAAAAATTAAAAATGTGGTGCTGTGTCAGATCCTAATGCTGATATCCCTTCAGGAAAAAGAGGCAGCCCCTGTGATCAAAGCTAACCCTGTGCCACATTATGGAGTGCCCTTCAAACCGAAAATGCCAGAACAGAGGCATGTGGAAGTTTGCCCCTTCTCTTTCGATGCCCGTGACAGAGAACGGCAAATACAGAAAGAGAAAAAAATAGAAGAATTGCAGAAGGAAGAGGTAAGAGCTAGAAGCTACCTTGGATTCTGCTAGAAGTGAAAAAGGATAGGGTGGGACTTGCCTCTTGTTGGCTCTTAAACTTTCAAAGCTTTGTGCCTTTGCAGAAGGGGCAAGAAACACTCCAGACTGTTTCTTTCAGGTGCCCAAGTTCAAAGCACTACCTTTGCCTTACTTTGACCACGTCAAGCTGCCGGAAAAGAAGGTCAAAAACCCAACTCAGCCTGAACCCTTCAATCTGCAGATTGACGAACGCGGAGCTGCCAAGCTACAGAGCTGGAAACAGCAGGTAGGCTGACAAGGATAAGGCCCAGGCTTAAAGCAGCTCCTGGAGGTGTGATCGACTTCAGAAAGTGTCCTGCTGGAGTTAAACCAGGCAACAAGCAACACAACTTTTTGGTTTTGATATAATTTCCTACGCAAGTGATTTGATCCAAGTCAACTCTGGCTTTTCCGGTGTCAGGAGGGCTGAGGTCTGGGTGAGGATAAGTAGTTGTGCCTGGTGCTTGATGGGCTTATGGGCTCTCTTCTCTTACAGCTTGAAGAAGACTTGAAAAGGCAGAAAGAAGCAGCGTGTTTTAAAGCTCGTCCCAACACAGTGGTGTACCAGGAGCCTTTTGTGCCCAAAAAGGAAAATAAGCTGTTATCAGGTACTTGCTACACAGGCTTGGCTGATAACTCAAAACTGATGCAGCTAAATGATGTTTAGACTGGCTGTTGCATCTTCTTTATCAGCACACTGATAGTGCCTTGGGCTTAATCAACTAATTCCCTAACAGCTTCGAGTCCTCCAGGGAGCGGGGAGGGGGCAGCTGTATTTCACAGCTCTGCCACAATTGCCGGGTGATTGATGCCTGCCAGCTCGGGCTGAGGGCGCAGAGCACGCGAGGAGCTCCCTGCGGGGACAGCTGGCATTTCTGCAGCGCCTGCCAGTCTTGTCCTCCTGTTTCTAACGAGATGAAGGCACCTACAGCTTAGGGTAGACCGAGATTTGTAGGGTATAGAACCAATCGAAAAAACTTGTTTGTGCTAACGGTTGTGTGCTTGCTCCCTTCCTGTGAGAATGCCCGTGATGGGGTAACACCTGCGTTAACGCCGCTCGTGCTGGGGCATAAGGTTTTCTCTTTTCCTGGAGGTATCCACTAACCACCCTCGCGAGGTGAAGCACTCCAGAGGGAGGCTTCTCTTTGACACTAGTACTGCTCTGCTTTACCTGGCTGCCTTTGCATCAATGTTATCTCCTTTATTTCTAAACTTAGAGAGCCTTTCTGGTTCTGTAGTTCCTGAAAGCTTTGAGCTGGCGACTGAGAAAAGAGCTAAAGAGCGGCAAGAGTTTGAAAAGCGATTGGCAGATATAGAAGCCATAAAGGAGAGGCAGCAAGAGCAGATCAGGCAGCAACAAGAGGAGCGTGAAAAGGAAGAACTTGCTAAGCTAAGGCAAGAACTGGTAAGTGAGCTATTCCTGAACCGAGGCTGTGAAGTAACCCAAAGGGATGTGTGCGAATACATTAAATGAGCTAATGTCAACGCTGAGCTGCATTAAGACTGCAGCACTTTTCAAGTTTCCCTGTTGCAAAATGATTTCTCATTAACTTTACAACTGGTCTTAAAGTCACAAAAGGCAGCTCTGCTGAGATGGCTGATTTTCAGAGCTGTGCTCATGTAGTTATTGGAGCAGAATGATCTTTGTAAAATCCACAACCCCAACACGTGCTGTGCATGCTCCCGACAGCGTGATAGCCGGGTGCCTGCCTTCACCCCACCAATACCTCGTCTGCACGTTTCAGCTTCTTCATAACTGCAACCATTTGCTTCCTTTTGTCCCTGATTTTTCTTTCCTTTTTTTTTTTTTTTTTACCCTCTCCCCCAGGTTCACAAGGCAAACCCAATACGCAAATACCGCAGCGTAGAAGTGAAGCCCAGTGATCAGCCACTGACCATGCCCAAGTCTCCCAATTTCTCGGACAGATTCCGGTGCTGAGGGCTGCATCCAGGTGATAGCAGGAGGGAGATCCCACCCCTCTCCACTCTCCTGACAGGCAGAGAGGGACCAGCTGTTTTTACGTGACTGCTCAGTCTCGCCTCCTCCCTTGGTTCCATTTTTGTTACCTTGAGTAGTTGAACTCCACCTGAGGCAGGTGGCTGAGGCGTGGCATACAGGCAGTGCCGTGTCGTCTCCGTGGCCTTGCTTCTCATCTAGACATCTTGTTCTCTAAAGACTAAACCAAGTTTTGATATTGTATACAAACACTGTGTACCTGAACTAAATAAAAATTCCTAATCTGATCGCTGTCTCTTGCTGAGGGGCTGCATCCCTTTGGCTGCAGAAGAGTTTTTGGTGAAGGGCACTTGGTGAACTCACAAGGGCATACATGTCTGGAGGAGCCAGCTTGTCTTTTTGTGTTGCAGTATTGGTTTTAGTGTCTGGTTCTTGGGCTCTTAGTCTGTATTAATGTTGAGTTACGTTAAGTAACGTGGCTTCTGCAAGTCAGCCTGTTGCAGGTCTGACACTTCCCGTTGATGGTTACGTGAATGCTAATGTGAATCTTGCCCACCCTTTAAAGTAGTTCCCTGTGTATATTAGAGCATTAAACGTGCTGGTTTATAGCTGAAGTCCTTCTATTTGGGGAACTGCTTTACTGGCAGATGATTTGCTGTGAGCTGCCTCCCTGGCTCCTGCCAGCAAAGCTCTCCTGGCTAAAGACACGTCATCTCCTAGCCGCTCTGGCGTGGCTACCACGACTAAACATAGACCAGGTGCTCCAACGTGCTGGAGGACACAACTTCCAGCACTGTAAAGAGGTAATCAAATTTAGATTAGAATTTACTAAGAGTAATTTCTTACCTTAGTGCGGTGATAGGACTTCTTACCTTTAAGACTGTGGTTTAGGCCCTTCCTTGCACTGTTTTTTAATGAGAAAGATAATTCCGAAAGGCTGTGTGAGGGCGTGGTGAGAGGTGCTGTCTTGTTACTTGAGCCAGTGTATCAAGCATTGTTAGTGTTTTACTCCTACTCTGAGATGTCTAGGGGCAGAAAGTCCTCAGAGACCAAAGTTCAAAGGCAAACATACATTGTACCTGAGAATGATGTTTCTGAAGGAATTCTCAAAAATGCCATGCTCAAGGGCTCTTGGTGCAGAACAGAAGTGGCAGCCAGCAGCAAGTGCGCACTTTGTGGGGGTGTGCTGAATTTTGGTGCTTCACAGAGCACCAACCTCAAACTTCTACTCTGCTTCGATTAAAAGAGGAGAAAAGTGACCCCCGCCGAAGCTTGAGGATTCAACAAAACCAAAGGTATTGTGCAGTTGGCAGCTGAGAAACTGGAGAACTGGGAGGTGTGAGGAAGCACATTGGTGGATGAACGACCCTGTGACAGTGCGGCCTCTCCAAAATGGTGAGCTAAGGGCCAAGGCTGCCTTTTACCCAAGTTTCATCTTTTCCTTCCCTTTCTCTGGAGGATCTCTGCATGGCTCTGGTACAACTGGGCCCAAATGTTTGACCCAGTCGCAAGGTGGCTTCAGCTGCATTTTGGCAACTTTGCCAACAGCTCCGCGTCGCTGAGCTGAGGGTAACGGAGGGGGCTGTGAGCAGCAGCAGCCTGGCCCATAACACTGCTTGTCACAGGTAGCTGTGGCAGCCCTGCTGATGGACAATTAAGGAACTACTGGAGCAGGAGGAACTTGTGAGCATCCTCTTCTTAAAAAAGGTCTGCATGGCTGTGACTGAAGGCACACGGGTTTTTCCCCTCTGCCTGCTTTAACCTCGTTTCTGTTGCGGCAGAGCTGTCCCATCACCCGCTGGATGGGGACAAGGCAGGACCTCGAAGGTGCAGCCAAGGGAACAGCAGCTCCCGCTGACCGCACGCTGCCTGCTCTGGAGGAGCTGGTGCTCGAGGCCAGAAAATAGTTGATGGTGAGTGAGAGGAAAGTCTGAATGCTGATGAGCGGGCGAAGAATGTAAAGGCAAGCAAGAAAACAAGGCTGCTGAGCTGGAGCAGATATCGATCCCTGAAGGATGGAGCAACTGGATTTCTGCGACAGCCCTACGTGGCCTCTGCTTGGGACCTGAGGGAAGGGTGTGTATGCCTGACAGCTTGTCAGGTTTTTACCCGACGGTATCGTTGGGTCTAATAAAAGGAATTACCTCTTCCTGCGAACGTGGCCTCATATTCCTCATACACTGCAAACTTAGTGAACGGGAGCCTCGGGCTGCCGTACCCTCCGAGGGTCTCGAGTGCTTGGCGGAGCTCTGGGGAATCGCCTCGCGGGCTCTCACAGGCTGCTGGTGGTGGGTGCTCGGCGTAAATGTCCTCTTAATTAGGAGGAAAGTGGTGACGTGCTGGAAAACTTGCTCTAAGGTAGAAAAGCATATAAAAGATCAGTGTCCTGGAGGAGCTGAGTTGAGGGTTTGGTTAAAGCTTCAACAGGGAAAGTGGCAGGTAACTTTCTTAGTCATAGTAGAGTAGAAGCAGGAGAATAAAGTTACAGGACTGGAGCAGGAGCCTGGGATTTACCCGAGTGCTATCTCAGCACATGCCTTTAGAGTCAGCGGAGGTTGACAAACTGACGTGAAATCTCTCTTCCTGCTGTGAGGATTTTGCAGAAATATTCTTGTGTTGAAGGCGCATCACCTTTGCATGTGTGCCTTGGAAATAAATGGGGCTGGAAGGAGGGGTGTGAGTCGGGGGAGCTGGATCTGGGTACAAAATGTTCCTTTGATGCATTTCTTGTTGAGTTGTTACAAAAGTAACTTGCTGAACTCAAAATAGAGCTGGAGCCATAAGGCAGCCAGTGTTTTTCTGGACTTGTAAGTGGAAGGGTAGCTGGGAATTGAAGGATCTTGTTAGCTGGTGAAGGAGATTCTTGTGGAAAGGCCTGGTGATGCTCTCAAAACCGCAGCTTTTGTTCTTGCTGGCCTTTCTGCTGTGATACCTCCTTGGCTGCCAGCGTGGCTTGGCACGAAGCTGGCAAGGGCTGGTCCTGATGATTTGGATCCACACTTGGTGCTCCCTGGTGTTGCTGCTGGCAGCTCAGGGCTCTCCTCGAGCTGGTGAGTAGCTCTGGAAGCTATTTGGATAATGTTGAGATTTTTCTCCTGTCTTTCCCCATCACCAAGATGGGACCAGTCACAACACGGTGGCAGCTCATCTGGGGAAGTCCTGTTCGCTGATGGAAGCGGTGAAGCTGCTGGCCGCGTGCTGGGGTTGGTCCCCGCTGGGGCAGGCAGGCTGGTGGGCTTGTGTTACAGTGGCGTGGCTTGGATTCAGGTGGGGTTGTTGTTCTCGCCTGCTCTGCCGCTCGATTTAGACGGGGTATTGGGTTTCCTGGAGAACGGGCAGAGCCTGGCTGTGCAGAGCAACTCCCGCACCCTGTGAAAAGCGTAAAGGTTAAAGTGTGCTGCCCAAGTTGTGACAACCGCGTCGCTAGGGAACTGCGTGCTTGATGCTTTGCCAGATATCCCCAGGACAGGCTGTTTTCCAGCCGCAGGCAATGCAGACTCTGGCTTAAAGTTCTTGAATGGGGAGGGAAAAAAACCTTACAGCCTTGGTGGTGTTTGGTTTCCATCCATGCTCTGCAGAGACCCAGAGCACTGTGCCGCTCCTTGGAGCATGGAGTTTTGGACCAAGGCATCCCAAATCCTTGTGTTCAGTAGCTCCTGCCCTGGTTACGATACTATCAACCTTTCTTGCAAGGAGACGGTTTTCATCCTGTTTCTATTTGTGCACAAATGCTTTTTGTCTTGTAACAGTGTCAAACTGTGGGACCGCTCATCCTTCACGCACACCTCCTTCGGAGAACCGTTTCCATGGCTCCTCAGCATGGCAATGCCCAGTCCCAGGGCTTTGCTTCCTCTCCTGGTCCCGAGGCTTCACGCCCAGACACCGCCCTGACTCTCCATGAGTGTGTAAGACTGCAAAGTGTCCTGGCAAAGGGCTTGCAGGGAGGGTGCAGAGCTAAAAGTCGACGTGGCGATGGCAGCGTGTGCCTGAAGTGACCCTGGTGGCCTCCAGGTGCCTGGCAGCCCTCGCCTGGAGGAGGGGAGAGGCAATTCCAAACTGCCTGCTGGGCGATGACAGTTGGTGGGCAGAGGCCCTGCTGCCCGAGGCGTGACATCTTGCTGGTTATTCCAGCCGACGTGCCCTGTGGAGGCTGAGCTGGGGGGACTCCCGCTCGCCATGGGAGCGGTGGCCGTGTTGGGAACAGTCCCTGAGAGCCGTGGATGCCGGCGATGCTCCAACCTCCGCTCGTGCATAGCTGCAGCAGCACTGCCGGTTGGAGCCATGTGCCTGCTCCTCCACGATCCCTCTGGTTCTCTTTGCGTCCCAGGTCCTGTCCCTGATCTCAGGAAGAGGGAGGCTCACTGGGTCTGGCGTGGAGCTGAGCTCACTAGGTCTGAGCTGGGAGGGCTGGAGCAGGAAAGCCCGGTGTCTGCTCGGGAGCTGTGTCCCGCTCTTGTGTTGAGGTGGTGATGGTGGTGCCTGAAATGCTTCTTCCACTGCTGAGGTACCACTGGTTTTGCTTTTGGGACTAACCAAGTTCTGGACGAGGTAGCTCCAGCTGTAAGTTTTGCTTTCTCCTTAGCTCAAAGCTTGCCTGTGTGGCAGGGCTGTGAGTCG